CCTATCCTCACCTACCCTGCAGGGGGTGACCTCTTCCTTCAGGGTGGCCACGTCGGGGTTCTCCACATGTAGGTGCTATAAGCCAGGGACACAGCTCTTTGGTCTCAATCCCTGTCCACATGGGTAATCCCACATGCCTGCTGCCCACACTTGGAATGTTGCTCTCAGGCCTAGGCCATGGGCCTCACCTGCATCAGGGTGCGCAGTGACTCCACATACGATTGCTCTGTGTCCAGCAGGGTCATGGTCACGTGCTTCCGCATGTCCTGTGGGGACAGGAGTAGAAGGTGAGTGGTCCTTTGTTCCCCTTAGCTACACGCAAGCTCATCTGCACACTCTGAGAGTCCATCTGGTCCTTTCCCTGCCTGCTTCTCGCTCCCAGAGATAGTTTCCCAAAGGACCCAGGGCCTCCGTCCTGCTGGGAACATTCTCTGCTCCCCTGAGTCGATCCCTGTTCTCCCACCCCAACAGGTTCTGGACAAAGACAAAAGGCCAACAACAATGAACCTTCCTATTTACAAAGGAAGATGCCTGCAGCTACACCCACTCTAGGGACTGACTCTGAAAACGCCAAGTTCCAGCTTGCAGGACGAGGACACGTTCGACCTGGCTGTGTGTCGCAGCATCAGCAGACGACGCTGTCACCTCCTGCTAGAAGAAGACACTGCAGCTTAGGGAAGTAAAGTTGGTGCTAGAAGCCGCAGAGCTGGAGGTGTTAGGGTTCTCACAAGGCTGGATCCTCCCTTGCACCAGCTCTGGGCCTTCATTTCCCCAGCCCTCTTGACCACCTGTGTGGTACAGAGTTTCTCCAGTTCTTCTATTTTCTATTTTGTTTTCTTTGCATGCGCATGTGTGTATGGCGGGGGATCTGTGTGCACACATGTGCAGGTTTGATCACCCATGCATGTGTGTGTGAACACAAGAGGCCAGTGTCAGGTGTCTCCCTCCATTGCCTCCCACATTAATTGATTAATTACTTATTTACTTTTTGACACAGACTCTCTCGCTGAGCCTGGAGTTCACCGTCTCAGCCCATCTCTGCTCTCCAGCACTGGGGTCACAGACGCACACCGCCGGGGTCACAGACGCACATCACACCGCCGGGGTCACAGACGCACACTGCTGGGGTCACAGATGCACACTGCTGGGGTCACAGATGCACACTGCTGGGGTCACAGACGCACACTGCTGGGGTCACAGATGCACACTGCCGGGGTCACAGGCGCACACTGCCGGGGTCACAGACGCACACTGCCGGGGTCACAGACACACATTGCTGGGGTCACAGATGCACACCGCCGGGGTCACAGGCACACACTGCCGGGGTCACAGACACACATTGCTGGGGTCACAGATGCACACTACTAGGGTCACAGACGCACACTGCTGGGGTCACAGACACACACTGCTGGGGTCACAGATGCACACTGCTGGGGTCACAGATGCACACTGCTGGGGTCATAGACGCACACTGCTGGGGTCACACACTGCTGGGGTCACAGATGCACACTGCAGGGGTCACAGACGCCCACTGCTGGGGTCGCAGACGCACACTGCTGTGCCTGGCTTTTACAATTCTGGGATTGCAAACACAGGTACTCACGCTTATCCTCTTTCTCTTTTTGAGACAGGGCCTTACACAGACCAGGATAACCTTGACTTCCTACCCCTCCTGCATCCACTCCCCCAGTGCTAGGGTTGCAGGGATGTGCTACCACATCTGGCTTATGGCACAGCTGGAGAGCAACCCAGGGCTCTGCACGTGTGCTAGGCAAGCACTGCACCAACTGAGCTACGAGTCCAGCCTAGTCTCCTCACTTTCAGAATGGGGGCGTGAGGGAGGGCGACCCAGTCACTGATGCTTACAGAGGACCCAGGAGTTCCCCGGGGGTTGTTCAGCATCTGCACCCCCATCCCAAGGAACTGATTCCTGCCCCTGTCACGGTAAGCTCTATCCCGGGAAGACTTTGGTAGAAACAAGCTTGGGAATGTGTCTGGGCTCGGGCCCCTGAGGCAGAGCTCGCCTGCTGCCAGTCCCAATCGTCCCCAGTCTTCTCCGGGAAACCTTCCTACAGAGCATGCGTCCCATGGCAGCCTCTCCGCCCTGGCAGGGACTCCTGCTGAGCTCCATACTGACACTCAAGACTGGCCCTCGGCCAGGTGTGAGGCTCCCACATCTGGCTGGGCTGTGCCTAGGGCTCCAGCCATCCGGGCCTGCAGGTTCTTCGTCGTGTGGGGATTCCAGAATGAGTGCTTGTGCTTGGGCATGCCTCCAGTCCTCACCACAAGAGCCCCCTAAGGCAGAGACTCCGTGAGGGGGACTGACCTTTGTCCCTGGTCTACTCGGGGACCCAAGTTCTGGGCCCACCTGGCCTCACCACTACTTAGCTTTTGAATGCTATTAGTATCTGTTTTTTTTTTTTTGTTTTGTTTTTTGTTTTTTTGTTTTTTTTTTTTTGGTTGAGACGAGGTCTTGCTCTGTAGTTCAGTACACAGCCCAGGATGCCTCGGCCTCCCTCATGCTAGAGCCACAGCCCAGCATGCCCCGCTGACTGCTCGCTTTTCTGGCCATGATAAGCTCACCTCAGGTGCTGTGCCCTCTGACTGACCTTGGAATTGAGGAATCAGTCTTGTTCCTTCATAACTGACCAGGAGGCACACTCAGCAGTGGACTCCTGAGTGACAGACATCTCCTCGGGACCCAGAAGGCAGGGTTGCTCCATCTCTCCAAGCTCTGGGTTGTATAGATGTACCTTAGGCCCCACCTTAGAGCAGGCCATTTATACTGGGTGCTTCTGGGGCTTTTCAAAACTTAAAGCAGCCCTGGGTCTCCCATGTCCACCCCCGTGCTGGCAGCTCTTGGAACACCTCAGTACCTCACAAGTACGTGTAACCTCCTGTCAGCCTTACACAGCTCCAGGACACAAGAGCTGTCAGCCACTGCACAGATGAGTCAAGTCAGAGAAGTGACGTGACTTGCCTAAGACCGTATGGCCAGGGACAGAGAGAGCAAGGCCCAGAGCCTCTGCAGCCGCCTCATGCAGAGTCTTAGGGCCCTGCACCCCACATTTCTATTTACACTGACCAGCCACCTCAGGCCACAGAGTTCTCCAGCTCTGCCCCGTCCATCTGTGGGACTTTGGTGGCCTTGCTTCCATACCCCTTTTTGAAGTGGAATAATAACCCTTTGGTCCTGGTACCATACAAGCTTGGTGACGGGGAACAGGGAGATGTCCACACACACACACACACACGCACACGCACACGCACACGCACACGCACACGCACACGCACACGCACAGTGGCCCTCACTGGCTCTTCTCATTTCACCTCACTGAGACTTCACGGGAAGTTTTCTGACTCTAAGACAGCCAGACCGGCCTTTGGGCCTCACGGCCACTGTCCCCTGCCCACACTCACTGGCCTGCCAGCCCCAACCTGGGTCATGGTCAGAGAAGTTTCCTGCAAGGCAGGGCTGGCGCTAGGCCTGCTGGCGGGGAGGCTGGGGTGGCGGAGGGAGCTGACGCAGCAGCGACCTCTCGCAGTCTCCTCCCTGCACAGCGGGCTGTCATTCAGCTGTCAGGTAAAGCACAGCAAACAAGGCCAGCTCCTTGTCACTGCATGGAGCACCCTCTGCACGTGTCCAGACACGGGAGCAGTGGGGGGGGACGGGGACGGGGACGATGCAGCTGTCAACCAGATCGGCAGGCCCACCTGTTCCAGGCAGGCCAGCCCTTCAGCTCCGCTTCCCTCCTGATCCCCTCACCACAGGCAGGGCCCTGGCCTGGGGACCAGGGAGGTGTGGGAAGGTGGAAGAGGGTGCGGGTACTGTTCTGTCATTAAACCCAAAGACTGAGACCCTGATGTACCCAGCGTGAAGACACACACACACAGAGAAGCCATGAAGGCAAGATGCCCTCCATCAAATCAAAACTGCAGCCCAGCTATCCAGCAGCGAGCTAGGCCCTCCTGCCCAGAGACCTGCAGCGATAGACACACACACACACACACACACACACACACACACACACACACACCCCCCACAGTACAGCCCCCATTGTGCCCAGAGCATGGAACAGAGTCTCGGCCTAGACAAACATATAAAACAAGGCAGCATCCTTGGGACCCTCCCCCTCCCCCTCCAGAAAGGCAGCCGGAGGCAAGAATGGGGATGCCACCTTTTCCACAGCACCACAGTATGACATCCCAGGCCCCGTAGTTCCAGTGCCGAGATGGTAAAGGGGATGCAATGCTGGGTACCTCTAGCTACATACCTACAGATGTGGCCCCTCAAACCTGAGGGAGGCTAGAAATATGGCTTTCCTGGGGACCCAGGGGACCCCAGCAACAAATCCGCTTTCACTTGATCCACTTTACAAGAGTACTGCCCTGGGCCTTGAACTTTGGTGCCCAGCCAACCCCACCAGCGCGGTCCTCACCATCAGCCTCTCCGCCTTCATCTAAGGTCAGCCCTCCCGAAGCCCAGGGTTGGCAGGCAGGCAGGCAGGCTCCTGGTGTCTGATCCAAGTCCCAGGCCTTGCTCTCCAGCATCTGCCCACGCATCCCCCCCCCCCCATGCTGGGTCTGCGGCATCCTAGGCCAAGACCCAGGTTCCCGGCTGCCCCTCCCCCTCCCAGTACCTGGGCCTCCCCCGGCTCCTCCGTAGTGTCAGAGCCCCCGCCCCCGGCGGACTCCCCGGAGGCGGCGGCTGGGCCCAGATCGCGCATGTCTTCCAGCGCGATGGTGAACTGGGCCAGGGTCTTCACCATCTGCAGCATGCGGCCGGGCCGCCGCCGGGGCGGGCACTGCGCAGAGTCGGAGGGCCCCCTCCCACCCGCGCTCCTCCGGGGCCTGAGCCCCGCCGCGGTGGCGGTGGCGGCGTTAGTAGCAGCGACGGGGTGAGCACAGCCGCCGGTGGCGCTGCGGCCTCCTCCGCGCCGGGAGTGCGCGCAGCGTCGCAGGGGGAGAGTCCCGCCCTCTGCGCGCCGCCCCTTATCCCGCAACAAGCCCAGCGTCTGCAGGGCCTGGCACCCCCGCCCCAGGACACAAGTCACACACACCCGCGGACAAAGACGCCCCCACTGCTGCATCTAGAGCGCACGCACGCACGCACGCACACAGATTTACACCCAGGAGCCATGGATGACCAGTCAGTCAGTATAGGAGAGGCCCAGGTGCTGGGTGGATCAGAGGACGGCAGAGTCAAGTGCATTAACAAACACTGTTCCCATACAGATCCCAAATCCTGACACCCAAGGAACCTGACCCAGCACCGCTCACAATCACGCGGACTTCCTTGTTCAACAACTACAGCCTGGCAGACGCAGGGAACTATGCGGGAATCAAGGTCGGATCTCTGGAAACCTCACTGGCTCCAGCTCTGGGAGGGGGGCTCGAATGTGACAGAGGGGCTGTCACCCAAAGCACCCCCATTGAGTCACCCCCAACCCTACCACCACCTCACCCAGCTCAGTCAGTGTTCTGTACCTGGCTCCAACCCTTCCGGCGCCTCTTTCTCCTCAGGACCCCCGCCGGGGAGGGGCTCTGACCATCCCCCATTTGCGCCCCCCCCCAACTCCCTGGTGTTTGTTTAAACGTGACTCCCAAGCTCTCTCCTCAAATCCCAGGAAGAGGCCAGACCCTACCCGAGACCCACTTAAGCAGGACTGGAGTGTGGTGATGAACAGCTTTGACACTAGCTCCCGGTGGGCACTGGGAAGGGGTCCACACAGCCTGCCGCTGTGCCTTAACCCTGCCTGGCTCCATCTCCTTCAGCACTGGGGATTCCCACACTCGCCAAGCTGACACCCTCTCTCCAACCTGTTCTCTCTGGATTTCCTGAGCAATGGGATACTGGACCTCCATCACCCAGGCCAGGCTTAACCTCGTTCCCCACACCCTTTCTTTGCACCCTAGCCACCCCTCTCCCCTGCCTCAGGGCCTCAACCTAAGCCCGTTCCCTCCCCTAGCAATGCCTTTTCTTTTCCTTTAAGACCAATTTCTACACAAACGTCGCCTCCTCTAGGAAGCCCTCCCGGGTCCTCAGGTTAGGTCTTGTGTGTCTTTTCTGTGTTCTTTGGTTTTCCTTATCCTAATCACAGACAGTCTGCAATAATACATTTGGACAACGACTAGATTGACGCCCCCTTCTGCCTGGAGACTGCTGGCTCCCTGAGGTAAGGAATCAAGGCACTGAACACGCGTGACACATGGTTGGTTAACAGACCAGTCTCCAATAGCTCTCCTCCGTTTTCCAGCCAGCCTGTGCAAGCTTCCGGGCATCCATCTGGCATGGAGGTCCCTGCATCCCTGTATCCTGTTCTGCTTCCTCAGCTCCACTCTCCAAACAGTTCAGCCCTCCAGCTCCACACTCCACACCCTGTGCTAAGGAGATTTTTTTTAAAGATTTACTTATTTTTAATTTATGTGTATGAGTGTTCTGCCTGCATGTGTGCCTTCCTGGTACCCACAGAGACCAGGAGAGGGTGGTGGATCCTGGCACCCAAACCAGAGACCTCTGTAAAAGCAAGTGCTCTTAAATGCTGAGCCATCTCTCCAACCCAGGAGCTGATGTTTTTTAGCACCCGCCCTCAAGGTCTCATGTAGTCCAGGGTGGCATTAAACTGGTCAGTGGAGACTGACCTTGAACTTCTAGTCCTTCCCTAAGCACCTCCCCACTCTGGGATTACGGGCATGCACTACCATGCCTGGTTTGTATCCTGCCCAGGGTTGAAGCCAGGGTCTTGTGCATGCCACACAAGTACTCCGCCAGCTTAGTTCCTCCCTAGCACCTCTAATTTTTGCTACCAGTACTGAAGATTGAAGTTGAAACCTCATTAATGCCAAGCAAGGGGCACGTGGGCTTTCTTCCTTTCTTCCTGGGGATGTTGCTTGTTTGAACCTGGGTCTTCCCATGTAGCTCAGGCTACCCTCGAACTCATGATCCTGCTGGGGATGTAGCTGAGTACAAGAGGGCTTGCCTAGCCTGTGTGAGGTCATGGGTCCAATCCCCAGAATCGCCCCCCCTTTTTTTTAAGTGCTGGGCTGGAGAGATGACTCAGAGGTTAAGAGCACTGATTGTTCTTCCAGAGGTCCTGAGTTCAATTCCCAGTCACCACATGGTGGCTCACAACCATCTGTAATGAGATCTGATGCTGTCTTCTGTGCAGGCATACATGCAGACAGAACACTATATGCATAATAAATAATAAATCTATTTTTTAAATGTGCTTATAACTATTGCCTGTGCAAGATGGCATACATCTACAATCTCAGCACTTGGGAGGTAGAGGCAGGAGGCTCAGCAGTTCAAGGTCATCCTCAACTATCTAGTGAGTTCAAGGCCAGCCTAGCCATAAGAAGCCCTGCCTCAGAAATAAATAAATAAATAAACAAACAAACAAATAAAACCAAACAACAAGCCTGGGAATGCAGTTCATCCATCGGTGGAGCTCTTGGCTGGGTATGAGGCCCTGTCCAATTTCCAGCGCGGCAAACAAGCACACAACAAGCCTCATGATTCTCCTGCCTCCTCCTGAGTGGCATTACAAGCATGCATGCCTATGCCTGGCATAAATGAATTATTCTCAGCTACTCCTGAAAGGGCAGGCCATGGGGCTAGGATCCCAGGGCAGCAGGCACAGCACAGACGGATCAGAGCCAATAGTGAATGGACAATCTGTGGAGTCCGCTCTGCCCCCTGGGCCCCCCTGGATCAGAATAACCATTCATTTAGGAGGGAGTGTGACAGGGCTCTTTTCTGGTCCCTGGACTAAGAGCCCAGGATCTCCTAGGAATGTGCTGAAAAGCACATTCACCCCTCCCCCAAGAGATCTCAAACTCTACCCTAGGTTGGAGCCAGAAACCAGCTGCATGCATCTGCCTTTTCCCTTCCCAAGGGACTGCCTTGCCCATACTTCCTCCCCACAGCTTGCTCCTCCTCCTCCTCCTCAGGTGGGCATGTTGGGGGAAGATAGAGAGAAGGAGTATGCCCATGTCCAGGGTGGGCAGCCAGGTCTCACAGATGGCCTGAGGGCTGCCTGCCTGGTCACTGCAGACCCTTAGGCCACCTTCGGCTACCAGAGTACCTCCTCCCATTTGGCCCTCTCAAACTACCTGATCTTGGCCTCATTTCTTCTTAGCGGCTGGGAGGCAGCACATAGTGTGGGAGTCTTAGCAAGGTACAGCTCAACCATCCATCCATCCATCCATCCATCCATCCATCCATCCATCCATCCATCCACCCCGCACCGGTGCCAGCAAGACGGAATTCAGAAGAACGGATCCACCCCTGCTGGCTTCTGGGCATAGCAGAGGTGGTAACCTCTGCATGGGTGAAAGCACTCAGGCCTTGAACACAGTCTGGAGCTCAAGAGACACAGGAGGACGCGGGTGCAGGGAAACAGAGACTCTGGAGCCCTCTGCCCCATGGCAGGGGGGACTTTAGTGCGAAAGGCAGAGGGCGCTGTGTTGCTTCGTGAAGGGTGGCTAATGGGATCCTGTGCCTGTTGCCATGGCACTGGGGGCACCGGTGATGGAAGTCAGTCAGGGAAGGGAACAGCAGCCTAGGCTGAGGCAGCGTATCACTAGAGCTCTTTCAGGACAGCGTCTACTAAGGTGAGGCAGAGGGCGTCGTGTACCAGCACCCAGTGCAGGTCTGGTTCTGTGGTTCCTGAGTGCCAAGCTGGGGTGTTGATTTAATCCCACTCTTCCCTGACCCCCCACCCGAGACAGGGTTTCTCTGTGTAACAGCCCTGGCTGTCCTGGAACTTGCTTTCTAGACCAGGCTGGCCTCGAACTCTCAGAGAGCTGCCTGCCTCTGCTTCTAATCTCTGCTAGGACTAAAGGCGTGCACCACCACTGCCCAGCTTAACCCCCCTCTTAGAGCTCTGCAGATGTTTGGGGCAGGTCACAGAACAGGTTTGTTCTTTACTTTACATTTGTTTATATTTGTTATATATGGGGGTGGGTGGGCACATGTCCATGTGTGGGAGGTCAGACACAACTTTTGGGAATCCATTCTCTCCTTTCACCTGGGGACTGAACTTGGGTCTTCAGGCTTGGCAGCAAGAGACTTTACCTTCTGAGCCATCTTGCCAGCCCTGGGAAGAGTTTTTGTAAGCATGAAGGCCTGTCCTGTTTCCATACTGCATCCATATCCCACCCCAAATATCTCCCTACCACCACCAAAGAGCTGCCCACATCCTCTCTGGTCAGGGGAAGGCCAGAGGCAGAAGTCAGGAAAGGACATGGCCAACACTCACTCCAGGCTAGACCACTGGGCACCCTGGCTCTGAGAGCACCCTTCTGTCAGCCCCAGGGAATCCCTGGCTCCCCAGCATCCACCAGGACTGTTGACAGCTTCCTCATCTCTGAGGGAATCCTGGCATCCTGCTCACCTGCTTCCAGACGCCATCCCCTCCACTGGGCTCCTGAGTCCTACCAAGACCCTGTCTGTGGTCCTGCAGCTACTGTTGGACCAGTTATGATAAAGGTTAGACGTAGGATGGACCGACGAAAGAGTGTGGGAGTGGCAGAATGCTGGAATGCGGGAAGATGCAGGGAGAAGCGGATGATGCTAGATCACCAGCTCAGTGGCAGACGCACACGCGACTGGCGCTCAGTGGATGAGCAGCTGCCCTGAGTTTTATATCATCTCCTGGTTGATTTGTTCCATAAACACTTACTGAGCACCTACCAGATGCCAAGCGTCATGTTAGGAATTTAAAGACACAGTCTAGGGCTGGGGAGACGGCTGGGCAGGTAAAAGTACTTGCCACTCAGGCCTGATGACTTAAGTTCCATCGCCAGAACCATGCCAGGTGGGGTGGCATGCACCCATAGTCCCAGCGCTCCTGTGGTGAGACGGAGAGGGGGGGGCGCGCAGAAATGAGACGTCACCCGAAGCTCAAAGGCCCACTAGCCTGGAGTGCACAGCGTGGCGTAAAGAACAAGAGAGAGCCCAGCTGGTGGAGTGTCTGCTTCACATGCTTTATAAAGCTCAGGGTTTGATCCCCGGCATCACATACACCTGGCTGCCATGGTGGCACTGTGGAGGCAGGGGGATCAGCATTCAAGGTCATTCTCAATAAACAAGATGGAGACCAGCCAGAGGTACATGAGACCCTGTCTCAAAAAGAGCAAAGGCAGTTCCCAAGAGAGACACACAGTTCTGGAAAGTGGGTTGCCGTGGGATAATCCTCTTGTGCACTGTAAAGATTTGTCACTCAAATTGGTTTAATAAAATGCTGATTGGCCAGGAGAGAAATGTCTGGCTACAGTAGGTCTCACCAGGCTGCATGGAGCTGCCCACACCGGTACATGGGGAGCCCGATGAGGATTCCTCACCGTCACAAATGCGGTTTGCACAACTTTCAGGGCCAAGACTCATCATTGCTTTTCTTTTCTTTTTTGTTTTTTTTTGGTTTTTCGAGACAGGGTTTCTCTGTGTAGCTTTGTGCCTTCCCTGGATCTCACTCTGTAGCCCAGACTGGCCTCGAACTTACAGAGATCCGCCTGGCTCTGCCTCCCGAGTGCTGGGATTAAAGGTGTGCACCATCACCGCCTGGCTCATCATTGCTTTTCAAGTGCTGGCTCCTTAACCCCCAGCTGACATCAGGGCTCCATTTCTTGTAACCCTCCCATTTTATAAACCAGGAAAGCAACACTTAGGGATGTCATCTTGTTGGTAAAGGCTAGGGTCCCTCTGGCTGCCTTCAGGTCCCTTTCCTCTGGGGTCGAGCCCACCGGTTATCCAAGTCACCTTTCTCTGGTCTCTTCTACTCCAAATCAAAGACATAAACAGGTTCCCCTGAGTCAGGAACATTTTAGAGGTGAACACAATGCTGTCTGCAGGCCATGCCAGGATTAAGGAGGATAGTCCCTGGGAACCCAGCCCTGGCTCCTAGCCCAGACAGACTGTCTGGTGCTCCTGGCCTCTCCCATATCCATGAAGAGTTGGTACTACAGGTACCAATCTAATAGGCCATCCAGTTCCCTAACGGCTACAACCTCCTCTGCTCCTCAGAGTCATCAAAGAGACAAAAGTTCCCAAAGGATTTCGTGGTATGGAGACCAAGACGGCTGGCGCTGGAGCCATATAATTCAGGTTCAAATCCTCACTGTGCCATTTACTTAGGGTGTGGGTTGGATAAGACGCTTCATTTCCTGGGCCTCTACCCCCTCCCCCACCTCCCATCACTCATCCATTCTCCTTGGTTTCCTAGGTCAGTTCCTGCGCTCTGTAGGCCCTCCCTTCTGGAAGGAGAGGCCTCTCAAGGTTTCCCAGTTCCCAGGCCTCAAAGGCAGCTGGAAGGGAAGTGTCCACGCCACAAAGCTCTCTTGGGACCAGCTGCTCTGGGTGAGGCTTTGTGACCGATGGAAAGGAGAGCTACAAAGCCTAAGGAGCTTCCGAGGCAGAGTCCTGCACAGAGCTCTATGTGCGACTGGAGACGGGACTATGAGTGACGTGAAGTGTGTCCCATTTGTGTGGCCATCTATAGACATGACCGCACAGCAGTCCGGGGTAAGCGACCCTGTGGTTCTGCGGCAGAGGTTAAAAACCGAAGGGTCTTTCAATAATGACCCAAACTGGCCACATTCAAAATGATCACAAGCCGGGCGGTGGTGGCGCACGCCTTTAATCCCAGCACGCGGGAGGCAGAGCCAGGCGGCTGTCTGTGAGTTCGAGGCCAGCCTGGGCTACCAAGTGAGTTCCAGGAAAGGCACAAAGCTACACAAGAGAAACCCTGTCTCGAAAAACCAAAAAAAA